TCAAATCCCTCTTTGGGACCTCCAAAACCACTTTGTGGAACCACAAATCCCCCTTTGGGACCCTCAAATCCCTCTTTGGGACCCCCAAACCCCTTTGGGACCCCCAAAACCCCTTTGGGACGCTTAAATCCCTCTTTGGGATCCCCAAAACCCTCCTTTGCGATGCCCAAAACCCTGCTTTGGGTCCTCTAAACACCCCTTTGGGACCCCCAAAATCCCTTTGGGACGGTCAAATCCCTCTTTGGGACCTCCAAAACCCCCTTTGGGACCCCCAAAATCCCTTTGGGACCCCCAAAATCCCTTTGGGACCCTTAAATCCCCCTTTGGGACCCTCAAAACCCTCCTTTGGGAACCCCTAAAATCTCTTTGGGGACCCTCAAAACCTCTTTGGGACCCCCAAAATCCCTTTGGGACCCTCAAATGCCCTTTTGGGACCCTTAAATCGCCCATTTGGGACCCCCAAAACCCCTTTGTGGAACCACAAATCCCCCTTTGGGACCCTCAAATCCCTCTTTGGGACCCCCAAACCCCCCTTTGGGGACCCCTAAAATTCCTTTGGGGACCCTCTAAACTCCTTTGGGGACCCCCAAAACCCCTTTGGGACCCTTAAATCCCCCTTTGGGACCCCCAAAACCCCTTTGGGAACCCCTAAAATCCCTTTGGGGACCCTCTAAACTACTTTGGGGACCCCCAAAACCCCTTTGGGACCCCCAAAACTCTCCTTTGGGATGCCCAAAACCCCGCTTTGGGGACCCCCAAATCCCCTCCTTTGGGACCCCCAAAATACCTTTGGGACTCCCAAATCCCCCATTTGGGACCCCCAAAACCCCCTTTGGGAACCACAAATCCCACTTTGGGACCCTTAAATCCCTCTTTGGGATCCCCAAAACCCCTTTGGGAACCCCTAAAATCCATTTGGGGACCCCAAAACCTCTTTGGGACCCCACAAATCCCGCTTTGGGACCCCAAAACCCACTTTGGGACCCTTAAATCCCCTTTTGGGACCCTTAAATCGCCCATTTGGGACCCCCAAAATCCCTTTGGGACCCTTAAATCCCCCTTTGGGACCCCCAAACCCCTTTGGGGACCCCTAAATTCCCCTTTGGGGACCCCAAAACCTCTTGGGGACCCCCAAAATCCCTTTGGGGAACCCAAAACCCTCCTTTGGGACCCCCAAATTTCCCTTTGGGGACCCTCTAAACCCCCATTTAGGACCCCCAAAACCCC